AAAAAAAAAAAAGAAAATCAAAAATCTAATTGTGTTTAAACTTCACTCTCTTACAATTAAAATACAAGCTGCTTTCAACACTCAAATTGAAAATTAATAATTCAAATGACACTTTATTCCAATTTAAACATATCAAAATCAAATATTTTCAAGTTATGTGAAAGTTAAGGGATACAAATAAGAAAAGGCAGGAATAAGTGAAGTGGAAGTTATAAAAGTAAGTTGAGCATTTGATTTTCCATCATCACACTCAAGTCACCTTCTCCACACATCCATTCTGCAGTTTCCTTACTTCAACTGTTTTGTGTTTTGGCTTGGTCCTGTAGTATGATGTAAGTTCGACATATCTAGGGTATCTTTCCGATACATCCCAAAGTTAACATCCAGGTTTCTCCTGCATGTGTACATGAAAGGAAATGCAAAGTGAGCTCTATGGGTTATTGGTGCAAGAAGTAGGATAGAAGTATAGCTCAAAAGATGGAGAAGGAGGTATGAGAACTGCAATAAGATGTGGAATAGAAGATTTGTCTTCTGAAAAATCTGATACTGAAGCAAATGACTATATTTCTTTCTGATAAGGGAAACAGAAAAACATTAGATGGTACTGAAAAACCCTCCTACTACATGCACTAAAAGGTCAATAATATGTGCTGTTTTTCAGGTTGCTGTGTTAGCCAAAAATGTTATTAAGCTAACCTAAATCTAAGTGAGTAGTTCTGCTCGCTAAATCTGAACGAACTGCAACTGAAATTTTTTTAAAAGCAACAGCATCTTTGAGCTTCTTTGTTTTTGCCAGAAAACGTCTCCTGGCTTTGCAGAAACTTTATTTTGCAAAGCTATGTGTTCACAGCAAAGTGTTTGGACAGTTTAAGTGTTGCTTGTGGAACAACATTAATTAAATAGTAAATAGACTGTTTCCTATGTAGTTTTCCTAGGCAAAACTTGTTTCATTCACCCATTCAAACACATTCATACAAACACTATGCCTTATTTTCTCTCTCCACTGAGATGCTTTCTATCAAGAATACTTGGCATGCAGACTGGAGCAGCCAGGGATAGAACCACCAACATTCCAACTAGATGACCTCCTGATGCGCTACAGGCACTCGATAAATAATGATGTTAGGTAAATTTAAATAACTGTGATGTTGAAACACAAACACATACACTGCAAAGCCTTGTGTATGCATCTCAGCTCAGCAGTCCACCACAGGGTAACGGTAAGTAAAGCTCTATAACAGTTTTATTACTGTCAGTTCAACACTAAGAGGCAGTTTCTGGAACAGTTTGGTCCACAGCACCTACATTTAGTGTGAATACGTTTTTCTGTGTCATGATCCCTGAGTCTCACTTCCCTGCTTCTCTGTGTTGGTGTTTGTGCACATTGTACTTCGTTTTGGGTCTCTCTGTCTCTCTGTCTCCCTGTCAGCAGCTCACCTGTCAGTAATCAGCTGTCCTGACTCACCTGCTGTTCATCGTCTATTCGGCTGGCTACTCAAGGCTTGAACAAAGATTTAATCATTGCCAGTTCCTTGCATCAGCCAGTTCTCTCTGTGATTCCCAAACCTGTGAGCCCTTAGAAGCCTGCGATTCCCTGATCACCTCTCTTAGATCTCAAACATCTTACAGACACAGAAACAAAACCTAACAACTAGAAAAGGATGACTAAATGAGCAAGAAATAAAAAACGAAACCATGAAAAACCACTAAATCCCAGAATTCCAATAATCAAAACACATAGACTGGGCCTCCAGACCCAGCACCATGGCAGTAATGGTTTAAGCATGGCATTTTAAAGGCCTGTGGCCCAGTAATGAGAACAGACTCATCATATTTGTAAATTAATATGATCAGTCCTGCCATTAATTCATGGTAGGACTTCTTTGAGCAGTCTTGTAGGAATGACGTCTAATAAACATGTTGAGATTTGGAGGAAGTAATTATTGAAGTTAACTCAGTAAATCAAATCAGTTAGAAAGAGTCTATGTAATAGCAGTACTGAAAGTAGCTGTACATAATGATATGTCTGTCAGATGGTTATAAATCATTTTTTCTCAAATAGTTACAATTTTATTTGTGAAGAAATTCATGAAGTCATTGCTGGTTAAGGTTAAAACCGATCTACTGGCAAATTGAAGGGGGGCTAATTTTTCCTGAGTGGTACACAAAAGTGAAGTTTTCACAAGAATGCATTATACATCAGTAATGCAGTCCTTTTAAAATGTGAAGAACCCCCGGAAGCTCAAGAGACACTGAGAAGAGAAATAGAAAAGATTCCAGAAAACTCTCTGCCCTGAACACAACCATCACCGACTGTTAAATGCAACAGTCCTCTGATTTATAATATTTTTTCAAAGCTTTACACATCCAAGGTTTGATATTTGAAAATATATCCATTTCCTCCTTTGGGATTGACAGGTCCTCACACTTATTCTGTGACAGTCTGTTATTTCATTCAAGTCATAGCAAACATTTTAGAATAAGGCTCAGTCAATACAAGAAAAACACAAGTATCTCCTCTGACCACACACCAAGTGGACTTAAAACCATTGATTAAGCCCTTATTTTAAGTCCCTCCATCAGGGTAATAAGGCTGACATTCTTGTGCTTTGTTAAAAAACTGACATTTGACTGAAGACAGTCAGTTTTATTGCGTAAAGACTGTGCATTGGCATGGATGATTGTGACAGGAGGGATCCTCCAATGGCCTTGCAACTGAAGTCTCTGTCTCACTCCGTGTCTGCCCCTCTTCCATTGATTTAGTTCTCCAACACCTAAAAAATCATACCAAAAAATGTTGGTGGCTACAGTCACCATGTGCTCCATGTCTGACGTTGTGGTCCCATAGGAACAAAAGGGACTCTATATCAGAGAAACAGAGGATATCTACCTCTCAAAAAGTGATAAATCAGTCAATTTTGTGTTTCCTTATGTTCATAAGGTTTCTGATATCACTCTCATCTTTATTATTGGTTTTCTGTGGTTTAATTATTTGTGGCACTAATCTTAGTTCCTTGGCTTATGAGTCCTCTTGGTGCTTTCTTTCTGTGCCCTTGTCTGCCTTCCAGAGTCCATGGTAGTCTTTCTGTGTCAAGTTCATATGTTTGAGACCTTGTCTCTATTTGTTTTTTCATGTTTTATTTTGGTAATACGTTTCCTATATGTTTAGTGCCCAGTTTTACTTACAACAGTATTTAGTATTCCTTGCTCCTGTGAATTCTTCTTGGATTATTATTCTCCAATAAAAAGTTTTTGCGAGCAATCTTGGAGTAATTTTTTAACTAGAATATGCCCTTCAATAAATGTGTAGGACTGCTTTCTTACATTTATGCAATATCTCTAAATTAGAAACTGGAATGATGCTGGAAAAAGTAGCTCATGCATTTACTAGTCCTAGGCTTGACTGCTGTTCATTATTACCAGGTTGTAATTTAGGCTGACTGAGAGGCTTTCAGTTGATCCAGAATTCTGCAGTGGGAGTAATGACAGGGACAAGAAAGAGAGAGCATATTTCTCCCATATTCTTATGTCATTTCTTTATTGGCTCCCTGTTAAATCCAGAACACCAGTTAGGACTATATCATCCTAATAGAGTACTTTGTTCTTGGACTACAGGCATACTCGTGGTTCATACAGTATATAACAATAGAATGGAAAGCAGATGCAGGAAAGGGATTGGACTCAAACCCGGGTCGCTGCATTTCAGCCATTTGGCAAGTCTTCACCTGCTTACTCAATAATATTGCTTAAATCAAGTTATTCCAGAATTCCTCTTGGCATCCAACTTGTGGGGTATATACTCCAAAATAATTCAACATCAATCCATCCAGTTTCAATCTGTCTAACTGTAACAATTCCAGCTCTTCATAAATCACAGACGCTCATAAAGCTTGGCTTTTCACGGTTTATTCTGCAGAAGACATAGAACACACTTAACATGTGTCTTCTGGTGGTACCCGCAATTGTAGCTCCCTCACATAACAATCTTTTCACTTCCAAAAAACTCTTCATTAAAGATTACACTTCCTATCTGCACCATGGCCTGAATCAACCTCTGATGCCCCTGGCTCTGCCTGGGTTTCCTGCCATTTCTCCCTGATTGTGTTTGTGTTGGTTCTTTCGCCTTTTGAATTAATCTTGTTGTTTTAACTTCTGATGCATTATCTTTTGTTACATTAAATCTTTTGTTTGCTCAACTTGTCAGTCTCTGTCTTGTTCTGCATTCCAGTCTACTTTAAACCACTCATAACCACGGGGCGACCGTGGCTCAGGGGGTTGGGAAGCGTATCTGTAACCGGAAGGTCGCCGGTTCGATCCCCGGGTCTCTGTCCTGGTCGTTGTGTCCTTGGGCAAGACGCTTCACCTACCGTCCACTGGTGTTGGCCAGAGAGGCCGATGGCGCGAAATGGCAGCCTCGCTTCTGTCAGTCTTCCCCAGGGCAGCTGTGGCTACAACTGTAGCTGCCTCCACCAGTGTGTGAATGCGAGAGTGAATGAATAGTGGCATTGTAAAGCGCTTTGGGT